TCCCGTGTAAGTGGGCGTACCGGCTAGTCAGCAAAGGATAACATCTTGCATCTTCCAGCAATCAGAAACACTCGCGAATCCTGTCAGTCGCCCCGCTAGGGTTCGCCATGCCGAGGAGCTCAAGGTAACCGCTGTTCACTTCGTCGGCTGTGATGTAACGGGTAACACATTGCTCTCTAGCTGCAACGCTGGGCATTCGAGTCGTCCTGGCCGGCATGTTTCCTCAGGTATGAAACAGCATTTGGTTTGCCGAAGCGCCGTTGGAATCAGGGTTGGTACTAGCCTACACGTCTCCCTTCGCACCACCCCACAGGGAATTAAATTAGCTCATATAAGTGTGCGCAATATTTTATTTTTGTCGGCTGTGGTGTAACGGGTTAACACATTGCTCCTGTACGGCAACGCTGGGCGTTCGAGTCGCTCTGGTCGGCATACATTTTGCAGCACTCAGGTGCCAAACGGGGTTAGATTACCCGCAGATGCTGTTGATGTCAGTTTTGACATTTATAGAACCAGCTCGTTCCTCCCCTGTAAATGTCACACCGCCGACTTGGTTTATAATTTACCTCGTCGTGTTTGCCAGCGTCGGTGTAGTGGGCAGACTTATTCAGGACTTTGACCGCCAAAGACGGGAGGCCGAACGTTGCTATAAACCTCTCCAAGAACAACAGACACAGGACCGAATTGTTAAACATATTCCAGAACAAACCCGGTCGGAAATTGCAAATTTTCACGCTTTGCACGTCGGACCGCCGCGGCCAATGCTGTCTCAATAGGCGCACATAGGCTAGACAGCAGAAGGTCGCATCCCATACTTACCGGTACCCAAAAACTCTCAGAAGCCCGGGCTTTTGCCCCACAAGATAATCTCATATCGTCGAAATTCAATTTTCCGGCTATGGTGTAACGGGTAACACATGCTTCTCTAAGCGCAAGGCTGGACGTTCGAGTCGTTCTGGTCGGCATATCGCAGCACTCAAGTGCTAAACAGGGTGCGGATTAACTCAAACATTGTTGATATAAGTTTTGATGCTTCTAAGCACGGTATGTTCCTTCCTTGTAAACGGCATATCGCCGCTTTGGTGTTGATTGGCCTATGAACTTGCTGGCAGGGTAAACATATTCTCTCTTCCATAAAAGCCGGAGGTTCGACCCACCCTCGCTAGCACATCTCACCCCTAAACCATTTGAGGCGGCAGTGTGAAGCTATGTCCGTCTTCTTCTTGAGGCTCTGAGTGTAGTGCTCTCAAGAGACGTACAGGCTAAAGTCGACATGGGTCGTCTTCGAGAATGTCTGGCACGGGACCGAATCGATGATTAGTTTAGGTCGCACATAAGGTCACCGCTGGATGTTTTGTCTAAGTGGACGTGCCGGCTAGGCAGCAAAGGGTAGCATCTCGCATGTTCCATCACTCAGAAACGCTCGTGAATTCAATCAGTTGCCCCTCTAGGGCTTACCATGCCGTGGAGCTTAAGGTAACCGCTATTCACTTGTCAGTTGTGGTGTAACGGGTAATACATTGCTCTTTGGCTGCAATGCAGGGCATCCGAGTCGTCCTGGCCGGCATATTTTATTGAGTATGAACGGCATTTGCAATTGGTTTGCCCGAACCGCCGTTGGTATCAGTTTTGGTACTTCTACACCCAGTACGCCCCCCTTTGCAAATAGCGCATCACCCCACGGGGAATTAAATTGGCTCATAATGTTTGTTGGCACTCGTGTGGTGGCTCAAGGCAATGCTCTCTTACGACAAAGCCTGGCATTCGACGGGTCCTCGCTGGCATACCTGTCCTCTAGACTATTCGTGGTGGCTGACCCATTACGATGAGGTTTAACATGCAGAAGTTTTCAAACCTCGCTATTGGCAACCCGTCTCATTCAATCCAGGTCGGTTGCTTTTTCCCCATTAAGAATTGCCGTGCACCGTCTTAATCCTGAATATGACTCTAAACCGCTCCTCTGCCGGAGATACGGGACTTCTGTCTCTTTACTGATGTATTAACCGCAGCTAGACGAACTGTCTACGCTTCGAAGCATTCTGATTCGACATCTTTCGCATATGGACGGTCAATGGGTCCACTCTGATACCATCGCGATCATTGGTAGAATTGGCGATTGGACTCACTATTGTTCCATCCCCTGGTTGAATTGGAACGTGCTCAAAACCCCCTCGGTTCGACTCTTATGATATAAAGGCCACATCCCGAGGGAGTCCGCACGATTTAAGCTCCTGCCGGCGATGGTGTAGTAGGTAAGCACATTGTCCTATTACGACGAAAAGCGGACGTTCGACTCGTCCTCGTCGGCATATTTTTCAACCCGTAGTATCAAAGTTGTCAACCTTCGGGAGGTTCTGACATTCTGTCTCAAACTTGTCTTGTGCCGATTCATGAGTAGTACTACATCCAGACAAGAAACTGTAGGCTTTACTTTTCTTCAGAACCCCCTCGGTTCGAGGCTTAGGATATGAAGGTCGCATCTCGAGGGAGTCCGCACGACTTTGAACTGGCGATGGTGGAGTTGGTAACACATTGCCACGTTAAGGCAAAGAATGGACGTTCGAATCGTCCTCGCCGGGAGATTTTTCAGCCCCGTAGCGTCAAAGGTGCCAACCTTTGAGAGGTTTTGAACCTTTTGTCAAAATTGCCTTGCGCAGATTCATGCGTAGTACCACATGCAGACGAGAGATTGTAAGCTTTACTTTGCTTTAGCTCTTCACGAACGAGGGTTTCGCGAGGTTCGAGGAAGGTCATCATCGGATACAACCAAATGCGTTCGAGTGAGGGACTTGAAAAAATGAAATGAACAGCCGACTCCTCCGGATCATCTTACCCTCCACTTCATTCCTTTTTATCTTCACGGCTCCCCTCCCACCTATAAAGCTAGTCCTCGTACTCAACTTTCTGTACGAGTCTCCTCTTCTTCGTAACGGCCGCTTTC